GAACTCTAGGAGTTTATGGTTGTTTTGTGAAGTTACTTGTTGCTGCAACAGATGTTTTGTGATTCCCAATTATTAATGGACATGAAAATCATCCGTGCAAGATCTTACTTTGTTGTTGGGATAAGCCAAAGTCCGCTGCCTCCTCCTTTCCTTGCCCGTGTGCCTTCCTCAGCAGGAATCCAGACTCTTTGCCGGCGGTCGGCCCTAGGTCGTACGGCCTTGGCCCTGTTCATATGCTGCTCCTTGCCAATTGGAGGCGGGCGGTCGCCCGCGACTGGTTTTTGCCATGGTCAGGTGCCAGCTCGTGGTTGCGGCTCGTCGGCATCCCCATAGTCGAGGTGGAGCTGGGTGTGGCTCAGGCTGCTTGCGGCATTTGCGTCGAAGCGGTCGGGGCTGAGGTGCGGCTCTTCTCACCCCCTGTTCTCCCCGGATTCCTTAGTGTGCGGATGAGGGGTAACCGGTGCTGTCGGACCTTCGCCAATGGTGTTGGTCGGGTTCGGCATGGTGGTGGTGTGTGGGCGCGAGATTTGTTGTTCCTCCGGTTGTGGGGCGGGTCGTCTACTTGGAGTGGTTTGGGGTTTGGGTCTCAACTTCAGTTAGGTGGTTTTCGGTGGTTCCAGAAGTTGTTTCTCGGGATGCGTTTCAGTCTGTTTGGGTGTGTTTGTGGGTCCACTGGTGCTTCGTGTTGGGTTTGGTTTTCCTAATGTGGGAAGGGCTTAAGTTTATTTAGTTTTGTTTAGGTGTGTTTTTTGTGTGTGTGTGTGTGTGTTTGTGTTTGTATGTTTGTTAGGTTTGTGTTTTCTCCTGGGTGGGAGCTATGTATTATCCCGTGTGGGCTCATTGATTCTCCATTATTAGAGCTTTGTAGTTTGTATGTCTCGCTGTGAGTGTGTTGTCTAGTTTTGCTAGCTTGAGTCTAGTTTTGCGTATGTGGCATGTAAATAAACCCAAGTCTTGGATGACATGGATAAAATTATGTAAAATTAACAAAATTTACTCCAATGCAAAGACACTAGGTATCTACTTGGGTCTAATATAGACTTAAGGGTAGACCGGGTCTCTTTTTCTGGCTCTCACATCAGCAGGACCCAGTCTACTTCTATTTGCATTGGAGAATATATTTTTCTAGACTTTGTCTATTTCTTAGGTGGCATAGATTCTATTTGCATTGGAGAATATATTTTTCTAGACTTTGTCTATTTCTTAGGTGGCATAGAATTTTTTGTGATTGAACACAAAGCATCGTGGATGCTCTTAGGTTCTAAGTAGATCTTCTAATGTGTCCCTTTTTTTATTCGGCTTTTTAGCTGTCTTATTCAGTTGGGGCTATTTCTTTATTTGTACTTTTGTGTGTTTTATAAAATCTCTACCGTTTCGGAAAAAAAAATATGCAACAAGTCCGCCCAAGTCCGTCTAACACCACTAGCCGAATCGACCCATCAACAACCGAGAAAAGACACGACCCGCCCCCCACACCAGCCCCGCCCAAGTCCGTCTAACACCACTAGCCGAGCTCGAGAGGGCCATATCCTCCGCTGCCTAACACCAAAGAGGGGAGGGTGAGAGTCGGCCGATTCCTCAACCTCGACCGCCGCGACAGGAACACCGCAGCAATCGAAGTCCTGCCCCACCCGCTGTCTCACGCGCCTCCCAACACCACTGCAGATCGCCAACGACACGAGCCCAGAACATCCCCGGAAGCCCCACCGTGAGCAGTGAAGCCGACCGAGAATACCTCCAAATCACCCCAATCGAAGACCGCCCGCGACCAAGGAGAAGCCACCAGACGCAGATCGAGGGAGCGCCGCCACCCAACGCAACCACGCCGGCGACCGAAGGTGGGCTACCCATCGCGACACCTGGAGAGCCCTAGGAGACTTGAGACGTTAGGGCCGGGCCGAGCGGTAGAAGACGACCACTGGCCAGTGTATTGCCGTCGCCGGGGAAGGCGAATCGACCGGAAATTAGTGGGAAAGCGACGGGAATTGGGGATAAGGTTTTCGTTTTTCTTGTGTGTTTCGATAAGGTCAAGATTATTTGGCTGGATAAATTTTAATTACTTCCAATTCAAAAATAATTAGATCCAAATTATCCATAAATATGTTGATTATTTATGGTCATTTTAGATGTATAAATTGCACTATAATATCATTTCTTATTACAACCATTAAATTATAAATATATTTTAAAAGTTAATAACTTTTATAATTTTTATATATCAAATTAATCATATATAATGTATTTTACAAGTTTTACATATATAATATATCAAATTAATCATCTTTTGATGAACTTCGATTGGACATATACATATATTGTATGTATAAAATAAATAAACTATATTTATCTTTATGACAATAATGAAATTATTTATTAATATTAATTAAGAAAATTAAATTAAGTATCAATTAATATATTTATGTTTAAAATAGTTATATGATATAAATTAAAAAAAATATTATAATAAAACAAATTTAAGTCGAACAAGTAACAAGTGTCATTTTAAAATATGTAATAATATATATTTTTTTTAGAAAAAGTATTTAAATTTTAAAATATTTTTTCTCATTAATTTAAAATTTTAAAAATAATTTTCTTAGTAAGCACCCATGTAATACACGGGTGTTGTACTAGTTTATATAATATACCAACATTGATTCTTATTTGAGATAGAAGAAATTTACACTGATATTCTGATCTTCATCAATACATAATTTCACCAATTAGTCCTAGACTTCCTCACCGAAATATCAACTTAAATCTGCTGATATATGAGGTAGTCTCCCGAACAGTAGCTGGATTTTCATGAATAGCTCTGCAGGCCTTTCATCATCACATACACTCCACAGTTTTCTGGTGCTCGACTCCATTAACTGACATCTCCTTTTGTGTAGTTTTCTCTTAGATCATATCTGCATAAGTTTCAGTTATTTGTTGGCTGCTCTGTTGAACTCCTCATTCAACCAGACTCTAATTTTCGAGCTTTCACCTAATAACGGTTTGGTTTCTTTCACGGGGTTCGCATATATTACCCAATGAATAGATCCTCGTGATCACCTTCAAAGTGGGTGAAGTACGATGGTCCGGTTATCTCACAATCATAATTCAGTTCGCCCGGCCTCGCGCATTTTTGCCTTCATGGGAAAAAAATGACGCTCATCATCATGATGTCGAAAAAACTTCCAATATCGAAAGTTAGCAGCAAGAGAGAGTATCATCATGGTTTAAGGATGAAAACAAATGTACCATTCTTGGTCAATGAGCATAGCATCTGTTAATCCAAACTCCTTTAGCTCTTCTCTTGTATGGTGCATTAACAGACAATACCTGCAGCAAGTCAGGATATCAAATGGTTTTCTTTAAAGGGATAATTACAAAAACTACCCATGAGATTTGGCTTAGGGCATGCTTGTTTATCAATTATTTCACTCACTTTTAATTCATACTCAAAATCTAACTCAACTTTAACTCAACCCCATTATCTTTAATATTTTTCATATAATTAATAAATACAAACCAATCATTCTTAAACATCACATCAACTTTTATTCACTATTCATTCACTCACATAATTTTAACTACCTATCATTCCCAATCATTTTCAATCATTTATCTCATACTTTTACATCAAATCAATTTTAATCATTTTATTTTAAATATTATTTTGATACATTTTTAAAATCACACTAACAACTAACCATACCATATTTTTCAAAATTAACTTTAGTTAACTGAAATAACTCATATTGGACGAATTATTTTGTAAACAAGCGAGCCCTTAGTTTACAAGAATATGGGTTCCCCTTCAACACTCCAAGTATCTAGTCACAGTTGAACTTTAATTGAGATTATATTTTCAAGATTGCAAATACCCACTTGGTTATATTTTAATCTAAAAAAATACCCCTTCTCTTGATGCAGCAAAAATAATATCAACAAGTTATTTGTAATTTAAGGTATAAGGTCATTTTTCTCAAAACTCTGACCAAAACCTCTATGATCGATACAGAATTCAAAAAAACCATCAAGTTGTCTAAAATACAATAGCTAATAGCCTTGTTTGAAAAAACATAAACAAACATTTGAACAAAAAAAGCATAATTCACTGATTACCTTCCACCATAGCCTCTTTCCATGACGACCATCTTACCATTGCCTAAATTATGAAGCCCTTCGAATTGCTCCACAGTCCATTTATACCATCTCATCAGAAAGACACGCAATGTCAGCCCGTGAGAGACAATCACCAAGTTCATGTTCGGGCTTTGCTCACCGGGCGGCTGAAATCTTCCAATGTCAATATCACTTCTCAAAGTTTCTCTAAATCCTGAGATTTTTTTCAAGTCCAACCACACATCATAAAAAAGATTTACACTTTGTAACGCCACTGATAAATAATATCACCACCTGTTATTCTATCATAAACATCGGCAGCAGATTCCCCGTTCGGAAACCTGTAAAAGAATCTTCCATAAAGCTGCCTAGCAGCTTTCTGGATCTTCATTTGTTCTTGGTCCTGGAAATTTCCTTCAAAACCCAGATCATTTTAACGACAATCGAGAACTTCTACGCCAAAATCTTGCATTTTTTTTCTTCTTTCACACAAACACATATGGTATTATCAATGGTAAATTCCAGACAACTAAAGTAAAGATTCAACTTTTAAGGACAAAATGACCTGCGATTGAAAATATATATGCATAAACATACCAAAATCTTGTTCCCTCAACCTGGGTTCCTCCCTAACGCCGGCAATCCTCGATTTATCAAACGCCTTGGCCAAATTTCTTAGAGTCTCGAGCGACCTCTTGTAAGGCGACACGTAGAAGTACACTTTCCAATCCTCGGCGCCGTCCTTCTCGATCATCCGCCTCATCTCACGGCCACATTCCTCCGCCTCGACGACCCCCTGCTGTGTCAGCACCACCTTCGGGTCGGCCACGCGTGTGTACACGCGCTCGTCCGCGTTGCCCTGGCTCTCGCCGTGCCGCACCAGGATGATTCTGCGAGGTCGGGGGGGTTTGGCTCCCGCGAGGCTCGCGTCGAGCACCTTCTCGGGGAAGCTGGATAGGCCGCCGCCGTCGATGTTGGGTCCGGCGGCTTCGTGGCGGCATTTGGCGGCGTGAGGGTTACGGTTTCGGATAGGAGAAGGTGACGTGGCTTGTGGGATTGTGGATATATTTATATTAAATAATATATTAAATATAATTGAAAGTAAACATTTAAATGTAAAATTAGAATTAAAAAAATATATTATATTCTAAAATATATTTAAGAAATATAAATAATTTCTAGAAATAATTTTGGAATCAAATCGATTCGATTATGTTAACTGAATCGAATCCCGTTCGTTAAGGCTCAAGCTCGATTTGTTAATATTAAGAAACAAATCAAATCGAACTAAATAATAAATATTCATCCTTTAACTAATCGAGCTGAGTTAAATTAGTTGATAAACGGTACGATAGACTCTAAGCTCGACTCCTTTACATCTTTAGTTCGAGCTATTAAACTAATACAACGAGTCACACATGTGTTTGCTTGGCTCAACTCATTTGATAAGGTAGCTAGATTCAAGCTTGTTTTAAAGCTATTTTAGTTAACTTGATATGTTAGACATAAAAGTAATATTTTTTTATGTTATTTTCTAAACTTTTAACTCAGATGACTCGTTGAACCTCGAGTGCAACTAGTTAACAACTAGTTAACAACGAGTTCGACTCATTCATCGATTTACTTAGTTAACAAACTCGACTCAATAAACTTCCATATCCGAAATGCTCCATGATATTAGCTATCCATCTTAAATCAGAACAATTTTGTTTGTGTAGACATTTTGGGCTTGGCTCGGCGCATTTACAGTTAGTAGGCCACGGGTGGAATTATTTGGGCCACATTACATTCTATTTAGCCCATCAAATTATGATTTTTACAGTCCCAAATACGTCGGTATCCATCCAGCTCAAACTAAGATTCACCGACATTATGATTAACTATGCCTCGACCGCGTGACGCACATTATTTCATTTCATTCAAGAACCATTTATTCTTATATTTATTGTGATCTAAAGCCGAGCTTCATTATATAGTTTCATCAATCTACGTTGTGAATCTTGTACGAATCTAGGTTCCATTTCATGTAGGGTTCATTCCCGATTGCATACATTTCTTTAAGATCCTACAGATCTGCGCGTATCGATATTTCGAGTCAGTAAGCATCTTCCTGCCATTTGGTTTGATTTGCAAAGTTCTTATTTTTTTCCTGAAATTGATTGTCTTTTGGCTCGTTTTATGCAAAGTTTGTGTCTTTTTGTGCTATTATTACAATTTCGATACGTGGGTATTAGTTTGTGCTGCTGTTTAATGCATAATGTGATGAACGTGGGGCCTTTGAGTTGTTTGGTTTTCAAGATCTGCATTCATGGAGCTGAGTTCGAGTTAATCGATGAGAGAAATTATATTGTGAGATTTAAGCAGCTGAGCTTTATATATGGATTTGTGTGATGCGTGAACATATGTTGGTTTTCGAAAGAAACTAATGGCTTTTTGAGAAGGAACTCAGTGCTTCGTTTTAAGCTCCGTGTAATAAGTCTGATCCATAAAATACCTATAATTAGTAATTACACGCTTTCGCTTTGGTTAACGTTTACTGCTTCATTTATAAAAGCGATTGTGTTGGAAATCTACTGAGAGCTCTTGCAGATATAGTTTCTGGAGAATCAGTCATTTATGTGAAATATTTTGCCTGTTTGATTGGCAGGTGTAGAACCAACTTATCTTTTAGTTGTAATGTGGGAAAAGAAGTATGAAGGCTATGTTGTTGTGGGAAAAGAAGTATGAAGGCCTAATATGGGAACAACTTTTCTGATCAATAGAAATTGCCCTTGGTTCTAGGTTGCTTTTGAAATAAAAGATTTTCGAATCCAATGCTAGTTACTTCTGAAGTCTGAACTATGTTAACTTACTCTTAAACATCTCAAACTTCATTTACTTTCAGAAGAATTTAGATCTACATCTACACACTTCATTTTATGGACATTGTTTTTGTTTCCAATTTATATTGTACAGATTTCTTTCTGTGTCTGAATCTTCCAAATCAGGATTGATTGAGCTATTTAAGAAATAATAGATTGAGCCGGTATTCCTGGACCTACACGCGTTGTGTTGCAAACTTGTTTATATGGCTTATCTATTGACCCTGCTTTTGTCTATTTCTATTATCCAGCATATACAGTATATCTATTGAAATGACATTTTAAATCTTGATTTTTCCTTTCTGTGAATATGGAATACTTGGGTAGCCAAATTTTCTTCTAGTGCATTTTATCGCTTCCCTTTTTGTAGTTTCTTTATTAAATATGATCTGCTTTAGGAGTTCTACCCTTATGTTTTGTACACTGTCTCTGGTTGATTCAAGTGTCCATTTTTTACCCAAACTGCAGCCTGTTTTATCCACAAGGTTCAAACTTTGAGGTGGTAGGAAAGCTGAGGGTTTGCTCGAGAATTATTGAATTCGAATAAATGTCGAGGGGGCGCTCAGATGGAGCACAAAAGAAGCGGTTGTTGACTTCTCTGTGTGTTGTAGCTGTATTTCTCATTTTTCTGTATGTCTACTTTGGCTCTAAAAATACTGGAGAGTCTGCTTTAGAGTATGGCAGCCGGTCTTTGAGAAAACTTGGGTCTTCTTACTTGGGTGGAGATGAAGATTCTGAGAAGCAAGATGAATCTTCAGTCAAGTTTGGACTTGATGACAGTGAGGATGGTTTCACTCCGAGGAGCTTCCCTGTAAGTGTTTCCACTAATTTTTATCCATTTTTCTGTTTTTCTAGAAATTTTAGGGCGTGCTTGTATACAGATATATCCGCTCAAAATGAGTTTTTTGGTTAACCAGATTCAATTTTGAAAAAGTTAGCATAGTTAGTTGTTAGTGGGATTTTGGGGTTATATTAAAATAAAATAAAAAAAATGATTTGATGTAAAAGTAGGAGAAATGATGCGAAGTGATGTTAGTTAAAATTGTGTGAGTTGATGAATAGTGAATTAAAGTTGATGTAATGTGTAAAAGAATAATTGAGTGATATTATTTAATTATATTGATAATATTGAAGATAGTGGGATTGAGTTGAACTTGAGTTAGATTTGAGTTAAAAAAAAAAGTGATTGGTTAAAAATGATTAGATTTTTTTGGAAAATCTATAGATTTTCTTACAGATATATGTATATTTGTCAATATTTACGATATATTTTTGTTGAATTAAGGTCTGTGATGATCGCCATTCAGAGTTAATTCCCTGCCTGGACAGACATCTAATCTACCAAATGAGATTGAAGTTGGATTTGTCACTTATGGAGCACTATGAAAGACACTGCCCTCCACCAGAAAGGCGATTCAATTGTTTGATTCCTCCTCCACCAGGCTACAAGGTAAAAGGTCCCCCGATTTCTATTTTATGAACATTTATACCATTATTGCTTTAACTAGTTTTTGATTTATTCTGTGTTTTGGAATTACAGATTCCTATCAAGTGGCCGAAGAGTAGAGATGAAGTCTGGAAAGCAAACATTCCTCACACTCACCTGGCGCACGAGAAATCTGACCAGAATTGGATGGTTGTCAGAGGAGAAAAGATCCATTTTCCCGGAGGAGGCACTCATTTTCACTACGGAGCAGATAAATACATAGCCTCCATTGCAAATGTAAGTAATTCCATAACTAACTTGATTGAGTAGATTGAGTTAACATCTTTATTCTGCTTTTAATGAATTATTTTGTATAAGTTTTGGTTATTGCATGCGTTGAGAGAAAAAAAAAATCCTCTTGTTTGCTGTTTTATTGGAACAACCCACATGCTAAGTGATGTGTAAGGAAAAAGAACTAAAGCTTTGTGTCTGATTATTGTGGGTGCCAGTTAAACCTAATTTAATTTGGTCCTTATGTAATTAAAAAGAAAAATGACTAAAAATTATACTATTAAGTCATTACATCATTTTAGAAATGTTCAACTGCAGTCCTCCTGTATCAAGAAGTCGAACACTAGAGCTAATTCAGGTGAAAATGGGTCTTTTTATTTACAAGGCCGTATCAAATTTCCTTTCGAGTTTTAATTTATCTCTCTATAACATTTCTAAGACCCTATGTGACTGGTGCATGCTTGGATACAAATTTTTCCAAAAAAATCCAATCATTTTTAACCAATCAGTTTTTTTAACTCAAGTCCAACTCAACCCCACTATCTTCAATATCATCAATATAATTAAATAATACCAATCAATCATTCTTACACATTACATCAACTTTAATTCACTATTTCATCCACTCACATAATTTTAACTAACCATCACTTCACATCATCTCTCTCATACTTTTACATCAAATCTAACTATAACTATTTTATTTTAAATATTATTTTGATATAAACTCAAAATCCCACTAACAACTAACCATACCACTTTTTTTTTTTTTTTTTTTCAAAATTAACCATGCCAAACCAAAAAAAATCCCAACAAAATCAAAACATCTTATATTCATTCATTGCGAAGTTCTTACAATTACACTTCCTTTTCGGCAGATGCTCAACTTTTCGAACAACAACTTGAACAACGAGGGCAGGCTGCGCACGGTTTTCGATGTCGGGTGTGGTGTCGCCAGCTTCGGCGGCTACCTTCTCTCGTCCGACATAATTGCAATGTCTCTAGCACCAAACGATGTTCACCAGAACCAGATTCAGTTCGCCTTAGAGAGAGGAATCCCTGCCTACCTTGGTGTCCTAGGTACCAAACGCCTCCCTTATCCCAGCAGATCCTTCGAACTTGCCCACTGTTCGCGTTGTAGGATTGATTGGCTCCAAAGGGATGGGATTCTCCTTCTCGAGCTCGACAGGCTTCTTAGGCCCGGAGGCTATTTTGCATACTCTTCTCCAGAAGCATACGCACAGGATGAAGAGGATTTGAGGATATGGAAAGAGATGAGTGCGCTGGTCGAGCGTATGTGTTGGAGGATTGCTTCCAAGAGAAATCAGACTGTTATTTGGCAAAAGCCTCTGACGAATGATTGTTATTTGGCGAGGGAGCCCGGGACTCGGCCGCCTCTTTGCCGGTCGGACGATGATCCAGATGCGGCTTGGGGAGTGAATATGGAAGCTTGCATCACGCCTTATTCGGATCGTAAGCCTTTTTTTTTTTTTNAAATTAATCTTAAAATGTTAAAAAGAGTTGCAAAAAATTCTGAAACGAATGAATAATGAACCGTAAAGTTGTGTAAAAAAATAGAAAAAAGAAGAAGAAGAAGAAGAAAACTAAACTAAACTAAACTGAAAACCGAGAGATTTGGCCTTTTTCTAATGGAATATGGTTTGGGCACATTGTGCATTAGTTGCTTGAAAGTATGATTTATGCCACATTATGGATGGTATCTTAAATTGAGTAATAAGTGATTAGTGTGATTTTGAGGCTATGAAGTAAGAATAGTGTCTTCTGTGAATGCAGTTCTGAATAGTGTTGAGAAAAAAATATGTTTGGTGGACCGAGCATTGTCATTCATTGCTAATAATTACGATGTTATATTCTTCTGTTTTTTCTTTTCTTTTCTTTTTTTTCTTAAATTATTGTCGTTGTCATAATCAGATGACCACCAAACGGGAGGCAGTGGGCTGGCACCTTGGCCTGCACGATTAACTTCTCCTCCCCCACGGCTTGCTGATTTTGGTTATTCAACTGACATGTTTGAAAAAGACACGGTAATTGGGAATACATTATATATATATTTATATATATGTTTTCTTTCTTCTACTTTTTTTTTTTTTTTTTTTTT